CTGAAGTGTTGGAAGCCTCTGATGAGTTGTTTCCAGAGCCTTGGTGAGGAAGAATGCACCAAGATTTTGTGGAAGTGCTTTGCAGAGGACAGAACTGAAGTGTCTGAGATGTACTTCAGCTTCCTCAGTCACATTCTGAAGGTTTTTTCGGACTCCATTGAAGCACTTGAGGCCAAATCATTCAGCATTACTTCTGTGTTTAAAGTGATGAGTGAGCTTAAAGTCAAGCTTGAGCAGAGATTAAATGACCATTTTTTTGGCTTTGCTGTGAACAGCAAACTCAAACAGTTAACTCCTGATATCGCAAAGAAATGTGAGACTGATTTCATTCACTTCTCTGAAAGAGCAAAGAGGTGTGTGATTGAAAGGTATGACTTCTCTGAGAACAGCTGTCACTGCAAAATGTCCAAGCTTAGCCTCACAGATGATGTCTCTTATGGAGAGTACAGTGATGCAGTCCAAGCCTGCAAACTTAAGAACATTGATATGGATGGACTGTATGAGGAAGTTGGCATGGTTGAAGCTTTTCTCAGCTCCCCAGAAATAGAAGGTTGTCAGAGCGAGGAGCGCTATCTGAAGCTGTTTTCCGAAGCAGATGTCCCACTGGTGAACCTGAGGAAAGTCTGCGCCTACATCTTCTCCATTCCATGCAGCAATGCACACACAGAACGGATCTTTTCTATGATGTCCTCAGCATGGAGAAATGAAAGAAATCGTCTGGATGTGGAGAGCGTGGAAGCAGAGCTGCAAATTTGTGTCAACTTCACTTTGTACTGCACGGACATGTACAAGAAACAAAAAACTGTTGGAAGCAGCCAGGAAAGGACAAAAATGTAAAAAGTAGACCTTCACGTCTTTGGTGAGTAAAATAGTCATACGATATAACGGTGTTGCTATTGTGTTTGTCTTTGTTCAATCTTAAAATTGTCCTCCTTTTTGGTGTTGTGGAAATGGCCACCCTATTTTGAGCTGAGAGGCGCAGAGCTCTGATCGCTGATGCGCTCCAGAAAGATGCGTCCTGAGCACGGCCACAGTAACATTCTCAAAGTGCCGCCACCTCAAAAACAAATTTAACACGCGACTGTTAATGTCGGCTCATATCCTTTCATGCATTCTATCTTTTATGTGTGCCTGATGCGTTTCACTGCTGCGAAGCGGAGCACATCACCTGTTTTGTCCTCCGGTGACTTCACCTTACCGGTGCAGCCAGCGCGCACTCCGCTATATTTGCGGTCGGTAGATCTTTTTGAACTGCAGTTCAAAGGTAACTCATGAGGTGAAAATATATGAAGCCAGGTAGCAGTTTTTCTCTAGGACTGAGAGGAGATGCAGAAGATAATAGACAAAAGAAATGTGTGTTAACTTAGAAAGTGTGAGCGCAATGTGATCAGTCCCAGTTAGGATTTTAGCTTTTGGCAACGTAGGAGTTAGAGCTTTTCTCTGTTTCCGTTACACAAGCATAAACACATAAGTGACAATAAGCACAGATAAATGACAAATGGACACATTCACACCCTCGTGAAGGTAAATAATTTTGTGAGCAGATGCTCAGAGGTGACACAGACTTGGTTGTGTGATGAGTCAGCGCTATCAAATTTAAGGAGACGGCTGCTCCGTCTCAGCTCAGCAGAACAGAAACCCAGAAAAGAGACTTTAAACTTTAGAAAGATGATTTAACACAAAGTGTTATGATATGAAAATACTGGAAAGGCTCACCATTAATGTAGTGATGATGAATGACTACATATTTATTAAAATGATCAATAAGATGTGATGATTCCTTATGAATATGAAATATCAACCTGATCAATCTTTGAATGTTTAATCAGGAGACTATAGTTACTTTACTTATCAGGAACCATAAACACACTTGTATTAATTCAGACAGTCAAGTAAATAGTTTATAAAAAATGTATTTATTTATTTTCCCCTAAACTAATGATTATACACGACAAGGTATGACTAATGATATGTAATGTAATGGACATGAAGTGATTCAGTATGATGTGTGGAATGTTGTAATGGAAGCTAGATGTTTTAGAAAAACTGTTCTTAAGTATCTGAGAGAATTTATGAAGTCTGAGTTGTAAAATAATTTGGCTGTATGTGTGTTAAACCACAGATTTGCTTACAAAACCATCCAACGCAATCCGTACCAAGTCTACGATACCCTTGTTTGGAGATTCTCGTGCGATCCAAGGGGTCAAGAGGTCGTGATGGACACTGGCGGTGGAGTGAACCTCTCAGTATCAGGAACCCGTAGAGATTAGCTCCGATAGGACCCGTCTAGTCTAAGATCTCTCCAGGTGATGGCAGGAAGCTGGAATGCTTGTGTGCGTCTGAGTTTGTTTGTTTGGCTCTTAGAAGAGCTGTTTGTCTGATACCAGCCGCAGCGTTGCAGAGAGGTTTTGACCTGAGGTCAAAAGAAGGGATGGTTTCAAAATTGCTTCTTCCTGGAATTGGGTGTCAGCTGGAAACTGAATTAATCAGAATGCAATTTCTGTTTTATAAAAACCACATTGCTTATAAATTTGGCAAATGAGAATTTGACACATTTGAGGGCTTTATCAAAACATTCCTCAGAGGTCCTCCTTCCTTCAGATACAAAGAGACGTTAACTTTGTGGGAATGAGAATGTTTAATGTGAAGTGAATGTTAACATTAATAATTATCTTATAACGTGTATGAGTATAGATATTGATTAAAGCACAGGTTATTCAAAGCATTTGATTTAAACATCTTTTTCACTCAACTCATATGATTATTTCAACTTATGAAAAATGATAAACGACCCGCACTTGTATAGGGCCTCTCAGAGTAAGGACTCCAAAGCGCTTTACACTACAGTGTATCATTCATCCATTCACACACACATTCACACACTGATGGTGATGAGCTACGATGTAGCCACAGCTGCCCTGGGGAGCACTGACAGATGCGAGCTTATGAGCTGTGAAGTCAGTAGGAACTTTGAGTAGGTTGACATTTATTTAAAGTGGGGATGCAGCAGACCTTGATTTGGATTTGGGGCCAAACCGGTGTTGTTTTCGTGTCTGTAAATGAAAGGTTACTTTCTGGTCAATTTATAGCTGAAAATTTGACCTTTGATACATTACAATACTTGGCCAGTCCTAGCTGGCCACGTTTCTCTTTTAGTTTTCCAGTTTTGGTCTGCATTCGTTTTAGTTTGTCACCATATACGTACCTTTGTCTGATTAAATGTTTTCACATACTTAGTCATTTGTGGCTGGCTAGTTCATTACTCAATGTTAATTGATATTCTGTTAGTCTTCCAGTTTTAGTCCAATATTGTTTTTTGTAGCTCATTATACCAGTTTCACTGCTTTAGTTTTGGTTGGCCTCAATACTCCAATTTTTAGTAATTCCCTGCAACTCAATATTTTTGTAGTTAATTGTAAATTTCTAGGTTAGCCCTCTTACCTGTTCAGAGCATAAATACATAGACTAACACTACACCAATGTTCATTTTTGTGTTGGTTTTTCTGTTCCTACTGCTGTAAAGCATATTGAGTTGCCTTTGTGTAGGAACAGTGCTATTTAAATAAAGCTGTCTTGTCTTGTGTTACCTCTTTGTCTCTGGTCCATGTATGAAAGGGCTTGAGTCAATTCAAAAAAGAAAAAAGAAAAGGGAGAACTTGTCTTTCTTTCCACTTGTCTACTTAAGATTTTTGATTAATGTGGGGAGAGGTTCTATCAGTCTGGATAAAACTGTTGATGTGCCGTGAGGAAGTATTTGAGCACTGCAATTTTGCAAGTTATCCCTCTTAGAAATTACAGGGGGGTCCGAAATTTTCATTGCAGATGGATCCCCCCTGTGGGAGACAGCTTTAAAAGGAATTCAGGAAATGCCATTCTATGGTTTATAAATAATTGATTTGTGTTGCACTGCTGAACACCTGAAATAATCACCGTTAATATTTGGTACAGAAGCCTTTGTTTGCATATAGAGGTCAAAAGTTTCCTGTAGTTCATAACCAGGTTTGCACACACAACAGGTATTTTGGCCCTCTCCTCTACACAGATCTCTTCTAGATCTGTCAGATTTCAGGGCTGTCGCTGAGTAACATGGAGTTTCAGCTCCCTTCAAAGATTTTCTATTTGATTTAGGTCTGGTCTGGAGACCGACTGTCATCTTTAGCCTCTTCAATTTTCTAACAATTGCAACAGTTGCTTGGCAAGTGCTCCATAGCCCTTTCCGTCCCTCTGGTATTGCCCATGGTAGCAGGAAGTCTGACTGACTGTGGGATGGACAGGTGTCTTTAACAAGCTCAGACAGGTGCTATTAATTTAGAATAAGTAGAGCAGAGGTGGACTTTTTAAAGGCAGAGTAACCGGTCTTTGAAAGCCAGAATTCTTGTTGATTGCCAGGTGTTCAAAAACTGATGTTCGTCACTATAAACTAAAACTAGGAGTTGGCTAATGATCTTTTTTCTTCTTTTTTTTTTACTTTTCCCAGCATGCCTTTCACTAGTTGTAGGTGATAGAGCTGATTTATGATTGATCTAAATTAACCCTCTGATGGATGAATTATGAGATCTTCAACCATGATTTTTTAAACAATTTTTTTCATTCATCTTTAGGTGTGAATGAAACAAATTTCAACAAATATTTTTTGTAACATTTTGTTAACTTACAAATACTTTATTACATGTCCATCTCAGTGGACAGCGTGCATTCTGAACATGAAATATGGTGGCTTGCCTTACTGAAGTCCAAATGGAGGGGCTCACATACAATAAAGTCTTCAACAGCTGTGCTCAATAGCAAAAATAAATAAATAACAATTTTGAGTACCTGTCCACTGTAGTGACCATTATGCATCAAAGGGTTAAGACAGGTTCAAGCCAATCCACACCCACCTATATTTTAATGAAACCTTCACAACAGTGTAAAACACTCTTTACTGATGTAAGGAACTCACATGAGGGCTTAAATATTGCTGACTAATCTTGTAGTTTTATGATCATAAAGTGTAACAATTCAATTAAATAATTCTTTATTCATCCAAGACGGACATTGAGTGTTGTTGTACCTCATTCTTCAGAGCAGTGATAAAAACAATAAAATAACACAAATAGTAATGATCTCATAAGACAGGCTGATGGCTGTGGGCAGGTAGGATCTCCTGTAGCAAATTGCAGAAAGCAGGTCTGAAGAAGACTCTAGACTGAAGATGCTCTGTTGTTGCATTACCGTGCCATGAAGAGGACGCCCAGGGTTGTCCATCATGGTTTTGACTTTTACGAACAATCCTTCTTTGCACCCTTGTCTCCAGTGGTTCCACAGAATCAGCCATTTTTATCAGGTTGTTGAGCCTTTCTTCGGGTCCCTGGCTCTGATGCTGCTACCCCAATATCTTGCTGCAAATCTTGAAAGATCTGCTCAAGAAGTACAGTTTACTCTGCCCCTTCCTGTAGATGGCTTCACTATTGAGTATCCAACGATGAGGAAACTAACTTGACTAGAGTGATTCTTTCCCCAAACCCAGGTGTCAGCCATGTTTACATCTGCATCGCCGCGTGGAACTGTGAGTCAATATGATCCATGTGTTTAATAAACTTACATGCTTAAAAAAGATGATGTCACCAGTTGTTTGTTTGGGTATATCACTTTAATAAGAAGGGTCTTGGAACCAAGAGGAGCCCAGTTAAACTTCTGGAGAGCAATGTTATAGGGAACATGAAAGAACGGTCGGAAATATCTGAGCTGTTTCTGCTAACTGGATCTATCCAGTCAGTCAGAGCTCTGCACACACCAATAATCTCTGTCGGCTTCATGACTTCAGTTACTATGAATCAGATTTGTGTTTCCGAGCATGGAAGAGAAAACGTTTAAATGTGTTTTTAACTTGGAATCAAAATAAAACTCAAATTTTTGTTTTCATTTTGAAACGTTTCATCTAAACAGATATTTGCACGTCTTCTACGGGGTTGGACGGGGGTGCTCTGTGGGGTCTGATGGGTGAGGCAGACAGAGGCCATATTGTGAGGAGATCCCAGCTCCAACGCTCATCGAGGACAGAATAAATAAGCTGAAGAGTTTTGAGGTCAGATCTAAACCTGGGATTCTTTTGCAGCGGCTTCATCGGTACACCGGTTCTGTGGAGAGGCTGAATGTTACCTGGAAGGCAGCATGAGCACTTAACACAGATTATCAGGTGTGTGTTTGTGTGGTGAGAGGACAGAACACACACACCAGCCCACCGAACACCTCAAGTTCATCAGAATCACAGTTTCATTAAACTCTTAAAAATCATTGAGAAAAATGTGTAAAGCACGTGGAGACCTGGCAGGGGCAGAGTCTCCTGCCCTTGCTGCCCTTCAGATTTTCATCCATTTAGCCCTTGGAAATTCAGGAGGCGCCATCTTTACCAGCAGCAGCTGACATCCTTTAGTTAGCCTGTACCAAGTCCGTCACCTAAATATCTACAGACAGCCTTTAGCAGTACTCACTGTTGTTAAAGCATGCCTGATCTGCCTCTGAATATGAAAGAAGTCTAGAATCACCAGTCTTTCTTATTTACGTGACGTACTCGTCCTCATCATTGTGTTCTGACTTGATGTGGTCTGGATGGAGGAGTGGGAAGTGTGGTGCTGTAGTCCTGGTACACACGTACCACTCTTTAATATTAGACAGAGAAGTTAAGGCTGGGTTCACGGAGCGCTGGCTCCTCCGAGACGTTCTGCCACTCGGCTGACTCTTCAGACCTGACAGAGAGAGATCCAAAGGCATGGCCACTGGAGACGAACTCCTCAGCAGCATCTTATTACTGACTTCACTGGCTGAGCTCATATCCAAGTCATGAGCAGCCAGGAGAGGAAGATGAGCATTGTTGTTGGTAAAAGATGAAGAGAAGTGGTTTGTTTTAAGGTCCAGGGGTTCAAAAACAGGAGGTTGGAGCTGATGATGGTCAAAGTGGTAGAGGTCGTGGACAACTGAGGAAGGAGAGGACTTGACATGAATCTTCATGTGTTTGCGCAGAGAGCTAGGGTGGGTGTAGGATTTGGTGCAGCCCAGAGCCTTGCAGTCGTAAGGCTTAGAGGCTGTGTGGACCTGGGAGTGCTTCTTCCGATCGCTGCTGTTAGCAAAGCGCCGCTCACAGAAGTCACATTGGAATGGCTTCTCCCCTGGAAAACAAACAACACACAGTTAGAGTGGCAGGTTGGGGCTATGGATAGCATCAACACTCACTCACTTATTCACTTGCTCATTTAATCAATCACTCATTTGCCCATTCACTCATTGCATGGTTTATTTACAGACTCATGTTGAATGGAGTTTTTGACATCCATCCATCCGTCCATTTTCAATTGCTTATCCAAAGTTGGGTCGCAGGGGCAGAAGCCTAAGCCAAGAGGCCCAGACTTCCCTCTCCCCAGCTACGTGGGCCAGCTCCTCCGGGGCAATCCCAAGGTGTTCCCTTGCCAGTTGAGAGATATAGTACCTCCAGCATGTCCTGGGTCTTCCCTAGGGTCTCCTCTCTGTTAGACATGCTCGGAAAACCTCACCAGGGAGGCGTCCAGGAGGCAACCTGACCAGATGTCTGAGCCCCCTCAACTGGCCTCTCTCGACGTTGAGAAGCATTGGGTCTACTCCAAGCCCCTCCAGCATGACCAAGCTTCTCACCCTATCTCTAAGGAAGAGCCCAGCCACCTTGCAGAGAAAACTAATTTCAGCTGCTTGTATCCGCAATCTCCTTCTTTTGGTCACTACCCAAAGCTTGTGACCATAGGTGAGGGTAGGAACATAGATCGACCGGCAGCCTTAGCGGAGTCCAACTCTCACCAGAAACGAGCTTGATTTACAGCTGGCAATGTGCGCCAAGCTCTGACACTAGTCATATAGGGATCTAACAGTCCATATCAAAGGGCCTGGTACCCCATACTCCAGGAATACCCCCCACAGGGCCCCTGGTGGGACACGGTTGAACACCTTCTCCAAATCCACAAAACACATGCAAATTGGTTGCTTATATCCTAAGGGTATAGAGCTGGTCCAGTGATCCACGGCCAGGACGAAAACCACATTGTTTCTCCTAAATATGAGGTTTGACGATTCAATGGACCCTCCTTTCCAGAACCCCTGAATAGACCTTAAAAGGGAGGGTCAGAAGTATGATCCCTCTGTAGGAATACACCCCCTTTTTCAAATAGGATGACCACCACCCCCAGTCTGCCAGTCCAGTGGAACTGCCCTCGATGTCCACGCAATACTGCAGAGCTGTGTCAACCAACACAGCTCCACAATATCCAGAGCATTAATTCCGGGCAGATGTCATCCACACCTTGGGCCTTGCCACTGAGGAGCTTTTTGACAACCACAGTGACCTCAGCACCAGATATTGGAGAGTACAACTCAAAGTCCCCAGACTCTGCTTTCTCATCGGAAGGGGTGTCGGTGGGATTAAGGAGGCCTTTAAAGTATTCTGTCCACTGATCCACAAGATTCTGAGTAAAGGTCAGCAGCACACCACTGTAAACAGTGTTGGTACCATATTGCTTTGCTCTCCTGAGATGCCGGATGATGGACCAAAATCTCCTCGAAGTCATACGGATGTCTTGCTCCACGATCTCACCGATCCACGCCCGGGTTTTTGCTTCCGTGACCACCCGAGCCGCATTCCGCTTGGACTGCCAGTACCCATTAGCTGCCTCTGGAGTCTCACAGGCCAAAATGCCCTGATAAGTCTCTTTCTTCAGCTTGACAGCATCCCTAACCGCCAGTGTCCATCAGCGGGTTCAGGGGTTGTCACCACAAAAGGCACCGACAATCCTGGTCAGCTCCGGTCAGCCGCCTCAACAACAGAAGCACGGAACATGGCCCACTCGGGCTCAGTGTCCCTCGTTTCCTTCAGAACGTGTTCGAAATTCTATCGGAGGTGGGAATTAAAGCGCCTTCTGAAAGGAGACCTTCCCTACCAGAGGGGTGACATTCCACATACAAAGAGCTAGCTTTTGTAGCCGAGGATCTGACTGCCAAGATCCCGGCCTTTGGCTATGACTTGGCTCACAATGCACCCAACCCCTTTTGCCCCTCCCACGAGTGGTGAGCTCATGGAAAGGGAGACCTACGTCTTCTCTTTGGGCTGTGCCTAGCCGACAGCAAGGGTTCGGCCCATTTGCTCACCAGCTCTAACTTCAAATTCTGTTCAGCCTCTATAAAACATGGTTTAGACCAGGCTGTTGAAACACTGACTCACTTGAGCTTGAAACCAGAGCTTACAGTCCTACCCTTACAGGCTTTGCAACCCTCACGCAGCGTATTATATTGAAGCAGCGCTTATCCAGAGTTCACGCGCCTCATGATGCATATCAGCTAAATTTGACTTTTTCACATACCCTCCTTCAAAGCAGGCCTGTTTGTTTGACAGATCCTATTTGATGCCACAAGAGGTCTGGCACCTGCTTTGAACGCACGCTACAGTGTTTCCCCCTCTAGCACGCGCCCATGACAACGGGCCTTTGTGATCATTTGTACCTCTGCGCCTCTTTACTTGCCCTTTCAGGAACAGCCCCCCCAATGGGTCACTTCCGGTTCCCACCCAGTGAGTCTTCGGCTACCGCACTGCGAGTGTGTGTGTGTGTGTGTGTGGGGGGGGGGGGGGTGACTGAAGCAGGGGAACAGTAAGGAGGCAAAACTACCAGTGTTGAGAGAAATCTGATATAACTTTGACAATAAGGGCACAAGCAAAAGTGGTAAGGGCTCAATCTTGGGTTGCAGACATGGTGCACATCCATGCTTTCGTTCTTTTTTAAACACAGAAACAGTTTTGTTTACCTGTTTGTAGCTACGGTTTCGCCGACAGCTGCCGGCTTCTTCAGGCTGACGCTGATGGTGGCGCGTCACTTCCTTCTCCGTTTATCTGCGGGCAGCAGAGGACGTTGTCGCCCTCTACTGCCCGCTCTCCCCTCTCCGATAAACGGAGAAGGAAGTGACGCGCCACCATCAGCGTCAGCCTGAAGAAGCCGGCAGCTGTCGGCGAAACCGTAGCTACAAACAGGTAAACAAAACTGTTTCTGTGTTTAAAAAAGAACGAAAGCATGGATTTACAAAGACACAGCAAGAACACACCTAAGATGGTGCACATATTCCCGGTTTTGTGCCTCTCTTAACTATGGTCTCTCACGTCAAACCCCACAGAACCGTCAGGGCTCTGTCGGTTATGATGTTATTGGGCATGATGGCTGTGGCTGACACTGTGGTCTTGCTCAGTCTATTACACACGAGACGCCTGTGCTGGTTCACTCGCCTGAAAGCAGATCCAATACATCAGAAAGGACGCTGCAGTTCCCCCTCAGTGGATGGAGACCTCATGCACTGGGAAAATCCCAACATCCTGAAGGAAGGAAATTCCATAGAACACCTGACATCACACATTCCAGTGTTCACGAATGCGTCACTGTCAAGTTGGGAGGGCACATGCTTATCCCATATGGTGGGAAGCAGCTGATGCCCCCACATATTTGCCCACATAAATATGTTAGAGCTGCTGACTCTCAGGAGTTTGATTAAACTCCGCCTGCTTGAGGGCCATCATGTCGAGGTCCACAAAAATAATCAGGTGGCAGCATCTTACATAAATCACTTTGGTGGGGCTCGTTCACTCACACTCTTGCAGGTGGCCCAGGAGCTGCTCTGCACCTGCTGTCCATCAAAGTCACCTACCTCTCAGGTGTCCTGAATGTGGGGGCAAACATCATGTCCAAACCTGCCCTTGTAGACCGGCAACCCCACCCTGATCTGACCACTCAGATCTAGAGCAGTTTCAGAGAATCCGCTGTGGATCCATTTGCTTCTCGCAAAAACTTAGTGACAGGGACAGCAGTAGCTCAGGAGGTAGAGCGGGTTGTCCAGTAATCAGAAGGTTGCAGGTTCAATACCTGCTCTTACCAGAGAATGTTGCTGTTGTGTCTTTGAGCAAGATGCTTAACCTGCCTTGCCTGCTGGTAGTGGTCAGAGAGACTGGTAGCCTCGCTTCTGTCAGTGCACCCCAAGGCAGGTGTGGCTACACCGTAGCTCATCCCCACCAGTGTGTGAATATGTGTGTGCATTGGTGGATGACTGATTGTGTTGTGAAGCTCTTAGGGGGGTGGCAGAACCCTAAGAAGGCACTATACAAATTCAGACAAAAAATAAACAATCAATGATGAACAAGAGTCTGCTTCTAGACCTGCAGAAAAGGGACACACAACAATACAACAGGAGCAAGCTATCACTGCGTCAACTTGATGAAGATATATAAAATCAACATTGTTTTACTGAACAATCACACAATAATAAGTCACAGTGCCTTTAGTGCAACCACAGCCTTAAGACATGTGTTGAATGTGCACAAGTCCATACTTATGAGAGCACCTGTGTGTGTACACGCGTTTGTAAATGTAAGGTTTCTGTATAGGAGCGTCCAATAGAGAGTGTGAGGGACCACAGATCTACTCCCCAAAGATGCGTAGGAGACGGGGGGAGCTCCAAGTCCCAGAGATCCAGGTGCTGCCCCAGAACACAGGAACCCCAAGGAGACTGCAACCAGAAAGGCCCCCGCCCCCCTCGAGAGGCACAGAGGATCATCCCCAGGGGGCCACAACCAGCAGCCAGCAGAGTCCCAGGAGATATCAGCGGCAAGCCCACAGGCCCGCCCGCAGCCTCCTACCCCCTAGCCAGCCAAGCCCGGGACCCAGCGACCCGGGTCCCAGGGGCGACCACCCCCGCAGGGGACCAAAAGAGCCCAGGGACCCAGATCCCACCAGACAGCCACAGGGATTGATCAGGCAGATGCCAAAAATCTTAAACCCCCTGACCCGGGAGCCATGAACACTCAGGCAGACCAAGGCACCGCACTCCACACCAGGTGTGGCAGACAAAGACGTATAGCATCAAAAGAAGTCCCAGGAGAAGGAGGGAGTCAAAGGCCCCACCTGACATATACAGTCATACACAGACACAGTCACACACTCCCTCCCTCATGCTCACACATGCACATACAACCAAAGACTTACAAAAATGCATGCCGGACACCCACTCATGCTCCCCATACACACCCTATTCACTCTGGTCCCTGTACTGCTGCACATGGGGTACAACCATTGCCAGGTCCCAGAGTTCAACCCTGTCTGCTGGGGTGCTGATG